AGCCACGCCAGCCAGATTCCTGCATGCAGCCTGCAAGGATGAGCAGGATTCGGATACAGCACCCACCACACCACTACAGCCAATGAGCCTTTTGACAACACTCTCAAAGAAGCGGGCCACTGGCATGAGCAAACTAAAACAAAAACATGTTTAAAAGGGATAAGGGTGTGTATACGTATGCAGATATTGGTTTAAACACAACACACTTGCACAGTGCTGCCCCTTTCCAAGAGCAGGGAGAGGGGACCATTCCTCCTATACCTTCACCACTACAGTGGCAATTCCACCTTTTCCCCTGGCATTTGTCAAATGCACACAACTTTTCCAGTTGCGCTTACTTCATGACCTTTCTTTGCCTGGAAAAAGAAAAAAAAACAAAACGCCCCAACAACTATCCCAAAATTCCCCTCCTTTATTGTGTTCAACAGAAGGACTGTTTTCTAAATAGTATATTGCTCTAAAGCCCAGATTGACTTACAGGGGAGATCTAACCTTTGTATAAGCAGGGAGCAGTCAAGGGCAATAACAGCTCGTGTCAGGTAAGAGAGGCTTATCGATGCTGACAGGGGGAGCAATGGAGAAATCAGACCCCTTGCTCCCGAGCAGAAGGTGTCAGGCTCGGAGACCTTTATAAAGCCCTTCTCTGTTTCTGTTTCATTACAGAAAGCTCCTTTGTGTTGGATGATCCGCCAGGGAAGACAGCCACCTCTCCAAATCCCGCACAGGAGTGACCCTGGGCACAGAGTGTGGGAAGATGGACAGACCACAGCCAGGGAGAACAGCAGTGCAGCATTGTCACAGAGATGCCAACTCAGGATTAAGAGCAACGAAAGAGAGCCAGGTGTGCACAGGGCTACCAGAACTAAGGCACAGGAAAGACTTAAGAAGATGCCATGGTCACTTGGCCCTGAGGGCATTGGAAATTGTCCACAAAGAAACATGCTGAAGTTTAGTGAAGAAGGTTTAAGCTCAGAAGAAAGATGACCAGAAGGTTATAGCTGGAACAGAACAGAAGGAACAGATGGGAAATTGCGTGGGGGGTACGCGTGAAGGAGAGAGGAGGGTGAACGAGTCTGGATATTGGAGAGAGTAAAAAACAAACAAAACCCAACAACAAATGTTTAAGCATTTCCTGAGGGAAATCTTGGGGCAAACTCAAGGAGGATGTGCATTTAGGAATTACAGCGAAGAGGTCCAAAAGCGACAGGAGGTAGCATCAGGAGCACCCTAGATGCCAGCAGAAAGGCATCGCCCTGGCATCCTCCGGCACAGGGGAGCAGAACAGCGACTGGGGAACACGCAGCCGATGCCAGCTCTGGGGGCTCTCCAAAGCCACGGTCTGCACTGACGCTTTCCATTTACGCAGCCCGCACTGAAACAGCTTTTTGCTGTTATCTAGTATTAAATCACGCTGTGCTTGGTTTAGAAATATCTCTACACGTAAGTGGCACAGAACCATCTTTCATCCTCTTTTCTCACGTTCATTTCTTCCACAATAAAAGTTTGCTTTTGCAAAAATTCAATGTAAAATATTCAAAAGAAATCTTATCACTTCATAGGGTTTGATTTCTTTTTCTTTATCCCTAAGTCTGATGCTTTCACCTGAAACAGGAAAATACTTGCTCCTCATAGTCTGCTCCGCTCCTTTCTTGCGGCGTGATGTGCCACAGGAGCTTACGTCCCTGCCTTACACAACTTCCATTACAAAAGCCAGGTGTAGGTCGATAAATGGACACTCACCAAACCACCACCCCGCCAGGACTTGCACATAGCACCCCCAGAGGCTACAGAACGGGCACCAGTCTCCCTGCCTTCACTCCCGCACACGGACATGCAAAAGACTGCAGAACATTTCCAGTTTGAACACAGACACGTACCTCATCCAAAGGTGAAAGTCTTCTATTTTCATCATCATCTAAAAACTCCCAATTGCTCTCACAAAACAAAGGATTAATTAATTAGCTGTGTCTGCTATACCTTTCCCGAAAAATACTGAAAATGCTGCAAATGGGGCATATTGAACTGGTAGCCTATCCTTCATCCCGCTGAGATTCTGCGAGTGAGAAGCGTTCACAGCACACTGTGTCAGGGATGAACCCAAGGTTAACTTTGGAAAATAATTCCATGTCCAGTGTTTCCCTTTTCGCATGCATTTTACACTGCTAATGTCTCTTTTGTTAAAGTCTTAGACATAGTTTAGAAGTGAAATTTAGAAAACCAAACCATACAGAAACTCAGTACTAGGTCTCTCCAGCAGCTGCTCAACAGCTCAGCTGATTCTAAATAATATTTAATGTGTTTTCTGCTTCTTTTCAATAATAATTTTGTTTTCTTGTCACAAAAGGTAGGAATAAAATTTTGTTTAGCACAAGTGTCCTAGCTTAAAAAAAAAAACACACATATAAAATACTTCAAATAATACTAGTAGCTAGGGGGACTGCATTTATGGACTATTTGTTATTATGTTATGTGAATTGCAGGAAGCGACTCAAGTGAATGTTTGTACTTGTGCAATCTTATTTGCTTTGTATATAGTGGCTCTCGTAATGTGGGCATTTGTGCAGTCTTTGTATTTTACATGGCCTCCCAAGAGGAGAGCAGTAGTGAAACCAATAAAGCAGGCAATAAACCCATATTAATAATGTATGCAGTGCTATAGATGTCTATTTATATGACACAGTATTAAAGTGTAAATGCATTGCTTCTTTTTTCAGATGAATGTGAACAACCAAAACAGTGCTCTTAGTTTTTTTCCCCAATAACAACCACATCTTTATAACGCTTACATGTTAAGCAACTCCTAAAACACTTTCAAATGCATTAAAAACAAAGCCCAAAATTTGTTACTACTCTGTATATAATTATAAGGTTGGTAAGAAAAAATGACAAAAGGTTAGATTTGTATATATAAAGTACATAAAGTGCATCTAATATTCATGTGCTTAGGACAGATAGAACGGACTTATTCAGTGATAAGAAGGATTTGTCCAACTATGCTGATATTTGCAAAACTCATTTCCATCCAACGATGCCTGTAAAAACAATGAGAGTTTCTTAATTCTTTTTATTATTTCCTTTCTAAGTGATGATGGTGGCTCTGAACAGCACAGAATATAGACCACCACATTTGAAACTGCAGTACAGACACAAAGTCTTGCTTGGATCTTAGCCAAAGACTATTTTAAGCTTTTGGTGACAAGCATTATAAAGTTTATTTCTAGCCTCTCATTCACACAATCTGATCACTGGTTGGAGTGCTTTTGGATCATTACAGTGGATTAGTGCAAGACATTATGTTCATATTTTATCTACCAAGACAGTATGCAACTAGCAGTGAAATGAGACGGAGGTAGTGGGGCCACTGTTGGGGAGACCTGGAATCTCCCTTCAGGATTTAAAATTTTATCTTGCTGAAAGCATCTCTGGCATACACATTTGGCTAAGTGGTAGGTCCAGAACTTCATTATTAACAGCAAGGGTAAGTATTTTACTTGTAAAGCATTAGTTATCATTGTCACTATTTATTATTAAAACCAAGGGAATGCCAAATCTTTTAGCAAGCTTCTGATGCCCAAAATTTTTGGGCTCAAAGACAGACAAAAGTAGAACAAACAAAGTTCTCTTCTTTTCCTCTGCAGTGACAAGGCTACATAACAGGGCCCTCCACTGCTGAGGTTGGGTGCGTTTTAAGGGAGATCAGAAGTATTTCTGTTTGATCAAGGGCTTAATAGGACGACATGATCTAAATTTCACTTTTTATCATTTTTATGCCATCAAGCCGTATTTTTTATGCAGACGACAACTATGGACCCAGATCAGCAGTGCACAAATCAAATGAAACTGATTTTATGATTACAGTTACCCACACACTTACCTGCTCTGCTGAATTTTCAGAGCTGCTCTGACACTACTCTGTATTTAGTCAGGTGCCAAAACCAAAACATCATATCCATGCCATCAGAGTGCAGTGCTAAGAACTAATTTTTCATTATGACCACTATAAGCTAGTATTTTCCCAGTTACTTCAAACTAGAAATGTGCACTATGAAAGAAAAAGAAAAAGTTTCTACCATTTCGACCCATACCCTAGCATACAACCCCTTTTTTAACTCCATACAGGAAGACACAAATCAGCTCTGTCCACAGTCCAAATTGCAAAGACCTCACCGGGCTCTGACCCAAAAGGAGAACACACGCACGTTTCTGCCCAGGGCTTGGGATGGGCTTTGAATTGTACTAAAACTCAAGACTGAAACCAAGGCTTTTGCACTGGAGCTGCTTTACCTCTTTATAGTCTCGCAAGTAAAACATGGTTATGTTGTCCTTTCTCTCCTATCAATGTCTCCTTTCTCCCCTTCACTTCTCTTCAACTCAACTCTTTTATAGTGTAGGTTATCTAAGGCAAGGAACAAGCATTCATCTCTTTAAGAAAGTCTCATGTCTTGTCTGAATCATATAAGACGTGGCCATACATATAGGATTAGCTCAGTGTTACATGAGCATTATTTCTTTTACACTAGACAGAACAGTTCTGCTAAGAAAGAATATCAGGTGTGATATAAAGCCATCCAATTTCACTGGTAAAATATGAATTTGACTAATAATGTAGGGTTTTTTTTGCAAACAGATTATTAGCATTTGTTGGTTTTTCTAAGAACTTTACTCAGAAGTTGGAATTGCTGTGTTCAAACTATGCTCCAATATTTTAGCCTGTAATGGAGATTTCACCCCATCTCTGCTGTGAATCACAAGAGATGATCTCTTCCCCTACTCCCTTTCCCTAATTGCTATGCAGTATATATATTTTTGAGAGGGTAGAGGGGACAGAAGAATTGGGGAGCATGCAGATACAAAGGAAATACAGGAATTCAACGTGCCCGCAATTTAAAATATATCCTAGAGAAAAAGAAAAATCTGACTTGGTCTTTGGGAATGACAGAGTGAGATTTTTCTTATTTTTGCAGAAAGAGCTACACACCTCAAGGGAGAGCAATACCCACCTGAGAATTTTTGCATAAATACATCTTCGAAGGAGGAGCTTCCAGCATACATTCTATAATTACCAGGGGACAGACAGGTAGTCTTTCACAGGAGAAGGAAAAAAGAGATAGAAAAAAATCAAGTAGTCTAGAGAATAGAAACAAATCAAAACAGCAGCAGCAAAATAGACAGATAAAAGAACCTGTCTAATTTTTTTTTAAAGTTTCTATCCATTCAATTCTTGTTTGTAGGATTGCTGAAAACATTTGCACCTCTCTGCAGTAAAAGATGGGTTTCTAAAGAGTTAGAAGTTCACGTTACATGAAGAAACAAGTTTTCATCCTCTCTAGGGCTCAGCACTCTGACACACGTGGTGAGGCTGGATAACTGCCCAGTCCTACACACACCAGACTACTTTGATTTAACAAAAAAAAAAGTTATATTTAGAAAAAGCACTAAAAGCAAACACTAGGTTTGAACAATACTAGGATTAAATCACGTGCTGACAGATATAAGTGAATCGGGATCCAAGCTAGGATGAAAAACACACAGCTAGCTCATTTATCCTGATTGAGATGACTGAATCAGAACCTCATGGCTTTCATTAATATAGAAGAGAATAAATAATTGTAAATAGGTGATGGTTGCACGAGGAGATGTACTAAAAACTTGAAATAAAGCTCCAAATAAATATAAAAGAAGCTGCAATAGAAAAGTAAAATCGAAGCTGTGAGATTTTACTAACAGCAAATAGGATAAGCAATCAAGTAAGACCCTGAGGCTTCTCCTGGTTGTGTACTGTCACGTCTCTTTGGACAAATCACATCATTTCTCTCGGCTTTTGCTTCTCTCTCAACCTTCGTCAGTCTTGTCTCATTGGCCTGTAAAGATCTTCAAGCCAGTGCTCGCTTCTTATTATGCTATACCGTGCACAACCTCTATTGGGTCTTCTGGGCAACCCAGTATGAAAAGCTTGATACTCACAGTATCGCTGAGAACTGATGAAGAGAGCAAAGGTCGCAAGGCAACTACGGAAAACCTCTTATGTTTCAACGATGCAGGCAGCAACAAGAGTTTATTTCCTGAGGAAATCACACAAGGAGCAAAACGACTGAAAAATGCACAAGGTGAGCATGCTCTTACCTACAGGGAAAAGTTTCTCTCATGATCTGGGAGCTGATATGGAATTGCTACCAAAACTCCCAAATCTTTGAGAGGATCCTACATGCCTCTTTTCCAGCAGGAGCGCCATGTCAGTGCTGGAGACTTCCTGGTAACCTAGACTTGCATGTAAACTGTTTTTTGTTAACTTTATATCTTCCCTATAATCCTTTCATTCTGAATAAATAGGATTTTGCTTTATGGAAGCTGGTTAACCTTGTGCTGAACTGAAAATCAGACTTGCAGTTAATTACCAAGATCTGCAATCTAAAGCCCTGCAATCTAAACATTTTATATAGCGAAAACTGAGCACAAAGAAATGACTTAGGCCAAAACAGCAAATCTAATCAGACTTTGGCAGAGTTCAAAACAACATTAAATCTCTTATTGCAATTGCAAAACATATTCCAGCAAAAACTGATCATCAAGCAGCAAAAGGAAATAGCAAAGGTATTAAGAACTACAGATATAGTACAACGTTTTGGGTGCTGTATTTTAAATCTTTATCAAGCCATTAACACACCTAGTAATAGACTCCAAATTAATTTTTTTATAAGTCAAATATATGGTAGATATAGCAAGAATAACTCTTATTCCCCTTAGAAAGGGGGACATAAAATCATCTGAGAAATGTGCATATGTCTTGCATGAATAACAAAAGCACTGCTATCATGAAGTGCATTGCTAAACACTGCAAACGGAACTCCTCTTCTCCCAAGTCATCAAAAAAACATGCCCTTCCACTCTGTACTTCCTTAATTTTTTTTTGTGCATTGACTGCCTTGTCACGACCAATAAAATAACAGCCGGACTATAAGCTGGCTGCTTTCATATGAGCATGTAAGTAGCTTATGCAGATGCCTGGTCAATCATTTTCTCAACTTGCAGGAGCAAACATTTATGTGCACATGTAAAGTAGGCACCCGCTTTCATAAGCCTGTGCCAGCATACGCAGCTGATCTGGATATGTTGCAGTGTTTCTTCACCTGGAACCACTGCAAAATTCCCTAGAAAACACTGCAAATCCTCTCAGACGTTGTCACAGAAATAGCGCAACCCTCTTACCACTGTCTCCAGAGAGCCCACATGCAAGCTGAAAAACTATGCACAAATGGCTCGTAGAAAATTTCAGAATTTACTGGGAAAAGACCCTCAACACGTAAAACGCTCGTAACTCACATCAGTTTTACCTGCTTTTACGGGGCTTTGGTTCTGCAAAGTATTAAGGATGAAATATGCACCCTTTCTTAGGAAGCTACCCAGTCCTTTAGCCCTATTTCACTCTCAAAAAATGAGTCACAAAAATACATTCAGAATTACAGTGCCAGGCAGAGT